TAGGGGAAAACTACCACTACCAAATATTGATTAGAAAATTCAATAAATATTATCTTGCATTTATATATTTTGAATTACCGATTTAAATAAACAAATTCAATATTTATTTATATATGCATGAACATCTCCGATATGCATGTCCACCTTGCAAGGTGGACACGGTTCCATAGCATAATTTGCCCACTTTATTGCTCTTAAACAAAATAAAGTAGTAGCTACAACAAAAAATAATACATATGCATTTAATTAATTTAGAATTAGATGTCTATAATGTCTTTATTTAAAAAAAAAAAATTATTCATTATAAAAAATTTAAAAATAGATATAATTTCATTAGTTATATTATCTTTATTTTCTACAATTCAAAGATTCATTACCTTCAAATTTATTAATTTATTATATTCACTGCATTGTTCATTGTCTTCTTTTTACATTATCTTGTAATTAAATATCAAAGTTATAATACACAATACATTATATATATTTATTTACCAAGTATTTTATACAAATATAATAAATATTAATATTTTGTTCAATACTTTCACATGATAACCTACGACACACATCTCACAATGCATGAAACATGTAGGGGAAAACTACCACTACCAAATATCGATTAGAAAATTCAATAAATATTATCTTGCATTTATATATTTTGAATTACCGTTTTAAATAAACAAATTCAATATTTATTTACATATGCATGAACATCTCTAATATAATATTGCATTGATATACTTTGAAATACTTATTTAAAAATAATCATTGGACATTATCTCATTCGCGCAAAGCGCGTAAAAAAACTAGTTCTTAATAACTAAGATGAAGCGTTGGATAAATTCATTATTTATATGAAAAAAAGTGAAAATTAATTTAATAGAAAGACTGAAAGAATTAGATGTAACTGATGTGGTAAGTGTAAAACATCTATTGGCAATTAATGTGGGTAACATTGTTTCCAAAAGGGCCCGACGGAGTATCTGGAATGATATAAATCATGGTAACTCAGCTGAACACAGAGGCTGCGCTAGACCGTTGCTTACTGCGCATAAGGAGTCCCCTTTGAGAGGTTGCCCCACACTGACTACTATTGGTGAGACTTGATAATCTCGGGTCATTGTTCTCAAACTTCATCCTTGTGATCGACCAACTGAACTGCCCATGTGGGCTAATGTGGGTAACATGATATCGTATATAGACATACGACATTTTATTCACCTCAGTCTAATATGGTGTTGTTGAATGTAAAAATCGCACATAGAAAGAGATTATGAATACGATGTAGATAAGTTTAGATTAATTTAGCAAAAAAATATGTGGGGCGGGGTGAGCCTATTTTATCAAGTAACCACCTTTTAAGTAATGTAGCCCACAAGAAACTCGATAAGAACCTTTATGAGTTGTGAAAAGGTAGGAGACTATCCTATCAATGCTTGAAAGTGTATGGTATTTTACAAAAGTAGTAGTGCCAACACCGATGAAAATAAAAATATGTCTTAAAACCGTGAACTATATTTTTATTGGCTATTGACATAACAGTAATGCTTGTCATTTTTAGTGTATGATGAGTCCCATAATTTGGATATATATAAGAACACAACAATTGAATCATGAAATGCATTGTTTTTTGAAGATATATTTTTGTGGTCTAATAATGAAGGACTTAACAGGTCGTTTGGTTGGAAGGAAGGAATTATGGGGAAAAAAAAATTGTAATTCGGTGGGAAAAGAATAAGGTGGGAATAAAGTAGGAATTCAAATTACGTTGTTTGGTATGAAGAAATAGAATTATTGGAATTGAGAAGGAAATAAGTTGTATAAAGACTAAAATACTCTTGTGTAATAATAATAGTAATAACAACCAAGGGAAGTAATGTTATTCATATGTTTTTCCTTTCTCAAATTCATTGAATTGCAATTCATGGGGATACCCATGAATTGCAATTCAACAAAAGGAGGGAATTGCAATTCCCTCCAACCAAACAATGTAATTGAGGTATCCATTGAATTGTAATTTAACTACAGCTAAATTACAGTGAACCAAACGCCCTGTTAGTTTATTGGAATGAACATTCGATGAAGCTACTGATAATAAGAATGATGGGTTTAAAAATGAACCCAAGTCTAAGTCTAGATGCATCAAACAAGCTCGCTAGAATTGAAAAATCATTTAGTCCATATTTTAAAAAATATTTGTTAGAGCATGAATCAAATGCTCTAACTTACCAAGACTATATGGTCTAATGGTACTCGGGTTGGACTTCCATTTGAAAGGTTGTAAGTTCGAGCCTCAGTGGAGGCGTTCTTAGCTCTTTGTGTTTCAATAGGTTGAGAAAGTATATGAACAGATACTACAATGTAATAGAGCTAGTAGCATTCAAAAAAAAAAAATACTCTAACTTATTTATTATAAAATTGACATCTATGATTTTCTAATTGCTTCCTAGAAAATGAGCATCAAGTTTACGTCTTAATACTTATTCTATTTTACATAATTATACTTGGCAATTAGTTGATTTTTTTCTGGGTTGAACTTTTGGGGTTCAAATGAGTCTTCAGATGGAAGATGAAATCGAATGATTTCATTGGGAAATGTAAGATTAAACTTGTAATTAAATGCTACTAGCAATGTGAGGGTCATGATTATATCGACACATATTTTCTCATGATCAACTAAATGATTTTAACCTATTTTATTGGTAATCGTGTAATTGAAAGAAAAAAAAAACTTTTCAAAAAAAAAAAGAGAAAAATAGCTACAATTTTTTTTCTAAAAGTTGACTTAACTAATATATAAAATATAATGACCAAAAACATTATTTTTTTAATTAATGATAAATCAAATTATAGTGGTCATAAAAATACTTAAATACAGGAACACAAGTTGCATTATTCAAGACTTTTGAGTTTTGACGATGTCAAGCATGCCTGATTGCCTGGTATCAAACGCGTGGACAACACGTAATGCATGGAGATAACCTCGAAATTTCTCATCATTTATTCTACACATTTATTTCAACACCTCCCTCATTTACCACCCCTTTTCGTCCTTCCCCGTCAATACTCACAAAGAAAACTTTTAAGGGGGCGTTTGGTAATGCATTTTTAGCCTTTTAGGTATTAATAATCGCTTACAAATCGATCTGCTATGTAGTAATACTCAAACATTTACTATATATACATATATACATACAAAGAGTATATATGGGGTGAGGGGAGCAGCTGACCCGCTGTGGCTCCGTCCATGTATTCGCTAGGAAGCTTTATTCAGTGCTGATTGCAGGGAATGAGCTGAGTCTCAATCGTTATACCCTACATCACGGCGCACATAGTACTGTGCGCCGCGCGTCTCCCAAAACGACGTCGTTTTGGGGTCGTTTTGGGAGGCGCGGTAGGAAGTTGCTGGGATTATGTGTATTTGTTCACACAGTTATGTGTATTTGTTCATACAGTTATGTGTATTGGTTCATACAGTTATGTACATTTTTTATACAATTATGTACATTCTTTTTATATAATTATGTACATCCGAATCAGAAAATTTGTGTGTATTATGTTAATAGTTGATGTGTATTATGTTAAAAGTTTATGTTTATTATGTATTATGTTAGATTATGTGTATTATCTTTTAAAAAGAGTATGTATATTTTGTTATATAATTATGTACATTCATGTATACAATTATGTGTATTTTAGTATAACATTATGTACATTCTTGAACAACGGGTTTTTTTTAAAGAAAAAACTACTGCCATTCACTGGGGCGGGAAATTTCAAAAAAATAAAATAAAATTAAAACGACGTCGTTTTGCATCTGGACGCATAGTGCAACGCGCGCCGTGGTGTAGGATATAAATTGCCGCTGAGTCTCCTCCCCTCCCGATTCTCTTCTGGATGTAATTTCTTCGGATTGTTTGAATTAATATATGTTGTTGGTTTGGTTTAAAAAAAAAAAACAAAAACAAAAACAAAAACAATCGCTTACAAATAATTAGGTATTTGGCAATAAATTTAGAGGAGGTTTGGTTGAAATATAAAAATTAGAATCAATTTCAAATCAAGCTTAGTAATCCCAATTGTGTTTTTAATAGAAAGTAAATTTTTTTTTCCTAATATGTTAAATCAAAATAATTATTGAAATTATTGTTTAGATATGTACAATCATTAACCAGAATCAAAGATTAAAAAATTAAATAAAACTTCATAATATTTATATTATTTCCCTTCAGATCAAACAAATACAAGGCTGACATGACATTTTAAAAATTACTTCTTCTAACCATTAAATAATAATATTGACAATGAAATTCATTAATTCCAATTCTGTCTCTTTAAAACCTTTAGACCAAACACCCCCTGAAGTGGACCCAACATCTCTAAACACGAAATCACTTTCTTTTTATTTTCTTTTAATACATAAGTTTCTAACTTATGCTATTATAAGTCCTTGCACCATAGAGTCTTTGAAAATGATAAATTGTTAGTCGTTCCGAGCAATTTTTCAATCATTCTTCGTCCTTAATATAGGTAAAAAGAGCTCAACCCATATCATACTTCAGTCTAAGGAGTCTAATCGTACTCCAGAAATTTTACCGTCTCTAATTATGACTTCAAATTAGGTGATTAACCACTTATATTAGTCCGGGGACAAAATTTTGGCAAATTATATCGTGCATCAGGGTGCACAATGCATTGTGCGCCCTGAGAGTTTATGTGTATTAAATTAAGAGTTTATGAGGTATTATATATTATGTTAAGATACTTTCAAAAAAAAATATATTATGTTAAGATTATGTGTATTATGTTAAAAATTTATGTGTATTCTGTTATACAATTATATACATACGAAACAGAGAATTTTTAGGGCGCACGATATAACAATTGCAAAATTTATATTCTCAAAAAAAAAAAAAAAAAACATTTGCAAAATTTCTTTTTTTAAAGTGTGAAACGAGGAAGTCTACATAAACAAAACGCTGTTTAATATTCTCATAATGTTTTTCTTGTTGTTTACTTCCCCAAGCAACAAATTAAAACAAACAAATCCAATCTTTTCTTTCATCGCCTTTCTCTCTCTCTTTCATATTAAGCAACAAATCCAATCCCCTCATCTATCTATATTTAATTCCAAATTCAATTATTTGCTCACAAGAATAGCCATGGAGATGTTTCAGAAAGCCAAGGTGGTTAGATTGAAGAGCCACCTAGAGAAGTACTTGGTGGCGGACAACGATCAAGAGCACACCCGGCAGAGCAGAAGAGGCGGCGCGTCACGGAACGCCCGGTGGCACGTCGAGCTCGTGGAGGGCAACAGCCACGTGGTTCGCCTCAAGAGCTGCCATGGCCGCTACTTGACGGCTTCCGACGAGGCGTTTCTCCTCGGCATGACCGGAAACAAGGTGCTCCTAACGGCGCCGGCAAACATGAAGGATTTGCGGATTGAGTGGCAGCCCATTAAGGATGGGTTTCAGGTAAGCTTGGGTCTGTCTCTGATATCAAATTGAGTATAATAGTTTTAATCAAATTAGTATTTGACTATATAAATTTTACTCAAATAATCATCAATTATAACAATTTTTTTTAATTTAGTCTTGGATGGTCTAATTAAGCACAAAAAATAATTTAGAGTTTGATTTAATAAAACAATTATAGTTGATGACTAAATTAAGTATTAACTCTTAGATGCTTTAACACTAATATCTAATTTAATTAATCCGGTTAGATAAAATTGAGAGCTTACGGCGGGACCTATTTGAGGGGTAACGGCGGCACGCCGCCGTGGAGGAACTCCATAACGCACGATAACCCTACCACGGCTTCAACGCACAACTGGATTTTATGGGATGTGGAGGCTGTCGAGGTGCCGGAAGATGAACAATTGTCGGATTATTTGACGCTAGTTTCAAGTTTTTCATCACTCTCCGACGAACTTTCCAGCTTGGATATGGGTTCACCGGTGTCTATGCGGTCAAGTTTTTCTCCAAGAATTTTTAAGGTGCGTTTCTTATTTGACTTGTATTTTTTTTCTTTTTTTTTATCATAAAGGTTCATTATGGGTATACTGTTGGGGGTTTATTGGGAAATATTAAAGTCAATGCCACAATATTGATGGGTGTAAGTGTTTGGGTCGTTTGGTTGGTAAAAGTCTAAGTGCACTCACGGGTACAAAAGAAGTTCAATCTAGATGGAGGGTGTCAACCCTTTATTCGGATGAGACTCGAATTTTAAGACCTTTTTTATGAAAAGTATCATTATGTTATCAAATTATAAAGTATTTAGTGATGGATGGTTAATTTATTGGCCTTGTTTGCCAATCATAATTAGCGAATAGCGGATAACGAATTAGTATTAATAGGTTTGACTATCGAATTATGTTAGTGATTTATAAAAAGAAAAATATTTGGTAAAACTAGCTATTTGTGTTTTAGCGATTGAGGTGTGAAAAAACATATAAGGACGTTTGCGTTTTAGCAGTTGAGGTCCTAAAATGAGGTTGTTTTGTAGAAATACATTTCTTTTACCAAAATGTCAAACCCCAAACATTGTTATTAGTAGTGTTTAGAGTTTCAGCGATTTGGTGTTGCCTCAAACTGTTGAGACTAAGTCAAAATGTAAAAAATGACTGGTCCACAAAAATTTTAACGAATCTGTCGTTTACCAAACAAGGAAATAGTTAGTACCATCTAAGGGTCCGTTTGGAAACCAGGAAAATGACTTCTGGAAAATGTTTTCTGGAAAATGAGTCATTTTCCGGAAAACATTTTCCTTTCCGGTGTTTGGTTGCATTCTGGAAAACTGTTTTTGTGTGTTTGGTTCATTTTCTGGAAAATGAGTAGAATTGTATAATTAAACATTTTAATTATTTTATTTAGAATATTACAACATGTATAATAATATATAATAATATAATATTAATTTTAAATATAATAAAAAATAGCTAAGTTTTTCAACAAAAAAAAAAAAAAAAACTAATAATATATCAAAAATATTATGGTGGTGGTGGTGGTGGTGTAGTGGTAGTGGTGTTATTCGTTATATAATAATAATAATAATAATAATAATAATAATAATAATAATAATTGGTGGTGGTGTGATGGTGGTGGTAGTATGACGATGGTGTGGTGGTGGTGGTGGTGGCGGCGACGGTGGTATGGTGGTGGCGGCGGCGGCGGTGGTATGGTGGTAGTGGTGGCGGCGACGGTGGTTGCGGTGGTATGGTGGTGGTAGTGGTGGTGGTGGTTGCGGTGGTATGGTGGTGGTGGTGGCGGTGGCGGCGGTGGTGTGGTGGTGGTGGCGGTGGTATGGTGGTGGTGGCGGTGGCGGCGATGGTGTGGTGGTGGTGGCGGCGGTATGGTGGTGGCGGCGGCGGTGGTGGTATGACGGTAGTGGTGGCGGCGACGGTGGTTGCGGTGGTATGGTGGTGGTGGCGGCGGCGGTGGTTCCGGTGGTATGGTAGTGGTGGTGGCGGTGGTGGCGGTGGCGGTGGTGTGGTGGTGGCGGCGGTGGTATGGTGGTGGTGGCGGCGGCGGTGGTATGACGGTAGTGGTGGCGGCGACGGTGGTTGCGGTGGTATGGTGGTGGTGGCGGCGGCGGTGGGTGCGATGGTATGGTGGTGGTGGGGGCGGTGGTATGGTGGTGATGGCGGCGACGGTGGTTGCGGTGGTATGGTGGTAGTGGCGGCGACGGTAGTGGTGGCGACGGTGGTTGCGGTGGTATGGTGGTAGTGGCGGCGACGGTAGTGGTGGCGACGGTGGTTGCGGTGGTATGGTGGTAGTGGTGGCGGCGGCGGTGGTGTGATGGTGGTGGTGTGACAACGGTGGTATGGTGGTGGTGGTGGCGGTGGTATGGTGGAGATGGCGGCGACAGTGGTATGTTGGTAGTGGTGGTGGTGGTGGTATGGTGTTGATGATGTTGGTGTAAAAGTTGGAAAATGACTTCCCCCAAAAAAAAGGGGAAGTCATTTTCCATAAAATTGCCTTCCTTTTCCATTGACTTCCACCCCATTTTCCTTTGACCAGTCATTTTCCAATGTAACCAAACACCAAAACCCGGAAAATGACTTCCAGAAGTCATTTTCCGGGTTTCCAAACACACCCTAAGTAAGGGTACCTTAAATGGAAAATTCATTAATTTTGGGTTTAAATAATATTTTGCTCCATTTATTTAACTAATTAGGAAAATGTTTTTGCAATTACCATACTCTATTAATCCCTTCCGAATTAAAAATAAAAAATTATTCATTTTCATGATTTACTGGAAAATTGGCTGGCCTCACCCGTTAATAAGGAATATATATATATATATATATATATATATATATATATATCAAATAACAAGATAATACTTTCAAAAAAAAAAAATAACAAGATAATATGCCAAAAGTGACTAGTAGGGAGTCGTAATTGTAGAAGTCTCTAGTATAGTCTAACTAATTAATAGATTAGTTACAACATTTTATTGTAGATTATTTTTTTTGAGAATCTCAAAAAAAATCTTTTTTATTGTCTTAAATTTGGGAAGAGACTTGTCTCACATTAGTGCAAGTAGTGCCAGGGCGCAAATTATGTTGTGCAACCGTGTGCACCATGTATGGTGCACACGGTTGCAAAAACGACGTCGTTTTGACTAAAAACGTGTGTCCCATTTAAAAAAAAAAATTCAGGTTCGATTTTTGGCAATAGTATTTTTTGTGCATAATTTGAATTATATATCCACAAATTTATAACTATATATCCACAGTGAATGAATAACACAACATCCAGAATAAATGAACTAACATGGCGTTTGGTTGGAGGGGGGAATTATGTGGGAAAGGAATTGTAATTCCATGGGAGTTGAATTACTGAGAATAAAGTGTGAATTTAAATTCCAGTGTTTGGTTGACAGGAATAGAATTACTGGGAATTTCAATTCCAATGTTTTGTATACATGGGAATTGAAAGGGAATAAGTAGTATAAAGTCAAAAATGTCCATTATTATTGTTAGACATTAATTTTAGGTTAAAAAATGAAGAGGTAATTTGGACTCATCACTATCTTTTTTTCCCAGGAATTAAAATCCTAAGGAGGGACATGGGATTTTAATTCCATGAAAATGGGGGAATTGCAATTCCATGGAATTGCAATTCCCTCCAACCAAACTACGGAATTTAATGGCATTTGGAATTATGTGGGAATTAAGTGGGAAGGGAATTTAAAATCCCTCCAACCAAACGCCCTGTAAATATCCACAATGAATGAACTAAATATCCACAATGAATGAACTAAATATCCATAAATTCATAACTATATATTCACAAATTCATAACTATATATCCACAATAATGATGTTGAGGGGAATCGAAACTGATTTTTTTTTAAATGGGACGCGCGTTTTTAGTCAAAACGACGTCGTTTTGTAACCGTGTGCACCATCGGTTGCACAACATAACTATTGGTGCTAGGGACAAATTGGCATAAGCATGCCCATAATTGAAAAAGGGTCCACTTGTATCAAAGAAATAAATTAAAACTTAAAAATTGTATAAAAGGTTGAGAACTTTGCTTGCCATTTTGGAGTTCACAACTTTTTTGGCAAATAGGAATTGCCTACAAGGAATTACTTCATTCACTTTAGATGATGCCCATGATTCATGAGGAATCACTCTCCGATTAGGAAACAAGTAAGGCTAGGGAAAAAAAGTGTATGGATATGCATAAAGGAACCACACTTTCTAACCACTTTGCTTCAAGATTTGGACTCTCACCAATTAACCATTCGTGAAACAAATATTAATATTAAATATGTAATACTTTTCTATAAAATAACAACTATTATATTTTTATTGAAAAGTATTTTTTAAGTATTAGTGAAAAATTATTACATTTCTATTAAAAAAAAGAGTTAATTTAAGTTTTTGTTCTAAATTTATAGGTGTTATTCTATTTTTAGTCTCTTTTTTTTTTTTTTTAAACATCATTGTTGGTCCTAATATTATTGTGGCATGATCATTTTTAGTTTTCCGTCAAGAAACTTGTTTAAATAATGTTAAATAAGAGGACATTTTGTTATTATTTTTTTAAATACAAAGTGGGTTGACTTGTTATATTTTATTTTTATTTTTGAAAAAATCACTACTTTATGGCTAAAGTCACATGTCTTCTTCGATTGCAATACGTGTCTCTGCAACCTGAGCCTCTGAGGCGGCAGTTGAATGACACATATAAGTCTAGACTAGAACTAAAAAGAAAAAAGGAATTTACACTTAGAATTGAATAGATTGAAATGTCCTCATATTTAACGTCATTTAAACAAGTTTGTCAATGAAAGAAAAAAATGATCGTGTCACAATAATACTAAAATCAACAGGGAATGTCACAAAAAAAAGATTAAAAATAAAATATTATCTGTAAATCTATGACAAAAAATAGAATTAGCTAAAAAAAAAATTTTTACATTCACAAAATTTCACTTGAGAGATGATCTCACACCGAACAAACGGTATGATTAAATGAATTTTCCAACATGCATTAGGGAGTTGCTCTTAATCTTAACGTTGGTTTGGTGTGAAATCATACCAAAAAAATGAAAGTTGACAAAGGAATTCTGCCGTATGCATTAGGGAGTTTCTTTTAATTTATTATTATACCATTTAATTTTGTCAAATTTTTTTTTTATAGTTTAGTTTCATTAATATTAAATTGTTCATGATGGTTCTAAACCATAGATCATGGTCGTTGGTCTTAGGAAATATAGACTATATTTAATATAACTTATTTTAGAATTTATCATTTAATTTAAACTATAAATAAGTTATAAAATCTCTTTGATAAAATATGAGAGTTTAAAATAATAGTTTATTTTGAAACGTTATCTCAAATAGTGTGTTAAAATAAGGTCTTAATTTTTTAATCTTTATTAATTTATAAAAATGATACTATTTACCTGTTATTAATCAAAATCTTAATATCTTAATTTATCTTTTTATGTTTTTATACTTATCAGGTAATTCAACAATTAATTTTACCAAACATTTTAATTTCAGTTAATTAGTTTATTAGGTATTAACATTTCAGTCAGGCGTGCCAACGAGAGACATAACTAAATTTTTAGATGGTTTGTTTAATTGTTTTGGTTCCAAACCTAGACATCTAGTCCTATTAGTTGTATATTAAAATAAATATTTATTTTCATAATTTACATGGTAATATAGACCACGATCCATAGAATACTCTGTCCAATTAAAATAGTCCCATTCAGGAGCCACTCTAATTTGTAATATTAATATTTAAAATTTGGCGGCCCTAAAAAACCCCCCAATGGACCCAAGAAGAAATTGTTTACCATGTTCTTGTAGACAAATTATTGTCTGGATCATAGTTCACACAATGCTATGTGATCATGTGATTCATAACAAATAATATATTTTTAATATATTAAAAGTATATTATTTGTGTACTGAATGCACATTATATAATGTATTTTTTTTAAATATAATATAAATTTTTAATATAATAAAAAGGGAAAATGACACTTTTTCCCCCTGAGTTATATGCTTATAGCACTTTTTCCCCCTGAGTTATTCATGCATTCACATTTGCCCCCTCAATTATTATAAAAGTGGCGGTTTTTCCCCCTGATAATATTAAATGGACATTTCTACCCTTAAAACAAATATTTTATTTATTTCTCTTCTTCAACAAATTATTGCTTATACGTAAGGATGACCACGGTTCGGTTCGAACTAAACCAAACACTATAGCAATCAAATTAAAAAATTTCGGTTATGATTCATAACATAACCCAATATTTGGGTTTCCGTTTATTAAAATCGTGAACTGGAAAAAAATGGATCCTGAACCGTGAACTGGAGGTTCAAATCGGAATAACTATTAGCAATAGCTTAAATTAGAATTATAATATTTGCAAATAGTGTATGTTTTTTTTTTGCATCTATATTGACTCTCACATATAAGTATATATAATCGCGGTTTGAGTTTTATTTTGAACCGTCGGTTCACAATTTTGGATCCAATTTGAACGGTTGGTTCAAACTTTATTTTAAAATTTTATTTTTTTTTACTTTTAAAATATTCTAAATTCAACACTTAATGTATTTTATTTTTTCAAATCGTGGTTATAATTTGTTGGAGAAGAAAAATAAATGAAATATATATTTTAAGGGTAAATATGTCCATTTAATATATCAGGGGAAAAAACTGCCACTTAAATAATTTATGGGGAAAAAGTGCTATAAGTATATAACAAACGGGAAAAAAGTGCCATTTTCCCTAATAAAAATACATTATTTATATATTAAATGTACATTATTTGATAATATGATCTATATAGTCTTGTGAACAATAATGATTGGTTCTAGCAAGTTGCAAGGACGACTTTTAACTTTCTAAGTTGAACCCACAGTAGTTGAAACTTGAAAGTTGGAATTCTCCGAAGAAAATACACAGAAACCTCTTGCCTTGAATAGTCCTATTTGTGTTCTTTCTTTTGACCAAACAACATTTAATTTGGCAACCAAACTTCTCACGTTGGTAGTTGAAACTTGAAAATCTTATCACTTCCCATTGCCCCATTCTTGCACTAATTTAACATATTTCAATTATATAAAACAAATCGATCATCAAATATTCATGGGACGACATGGATGAGATAACACGTAGGTTTAAACATATCACGTTGTACACGTTTATATGTAACTTAAGTTAATTCTAATTTTATTCTTTCACTAATAACTTTTTTTTTTTATAATTATTTAAAATTAAAGAAAATTGGTTAGAGATTAAAATTGAAATTAACTGCATTGAAACTTGTCTTTTGACTATAGTCGATAAAGAATCATAAAGGCCCTGTTTGGTAAATAGTTAGCTAGTCAATTTTGACTTATTTGACCACTATTAATTGTTTGACTTGGTTAAAAAAAATCGTGTTTGATTAATTAACTTTTTATAACTCCAAAATGTCACAGAGTAAAATTTTAAAAGTTGCTCAAATCAACTCTTTCAATTAACTTTTTAAAGAAAAGAAATTATATCAAACAATTATCAGCTAATTTACCAAACACTTTTCTATTATAAGCTAATGTTATCAACTAGTTATATCCTCTAATTGACACAATCAACTAACAGCTAACAACCATTTACTAAACTGGGTCAAAATGGTAAACAAGTCACTTAAATTAAAAAAGCCAATAAACAACTGCTATGATGAATCCAACTTGAAACTTTTCAGGTTATCAAGTTAACTGTCTAATCAACTTTCAGATAAAGATCCGTGAGAAGATCTCGTGATCTAGAAAAAAAAAAAATAGTGATAAGAATGACACGTGATACTACATTGTCTATATGGTAAACAGCTATATTGAGCCACCAGAAGCGTGCCGAATATACCGAATTAGAAAATTTGTTCAAAATTTGGTCCAACAGACGTCTATTTATACATTACGCATCTCTCTCTTTCTTCATGTTAACTAGAAATAGAAAAACAAAACATCATAGTCTCATCTAATCCAATTTTTTTCTTCAAAACCTCAAAATTTCCTAACATTTTGTGCTTGTAATATACCTTATAATAATCTACAGACTACCCCTTCGTTCAATCTCCCAGCCATGGAGATGTTCCACCGAGCTAAGACGGTGCGGTTGAGGAGCCACCACGACAAGTACTTGACCGCCGAGGAAGACGAAGAGTCGGTGACCCAAGACCGTAACGGCAACGCCAAGAGCGCGCGGTGGACGGTGGAGTTCCCGGAGAACACCGACAACGCCGTCCGCCTTAAGAGCTGTTACGGCAAGTACTTGACGGCTTCCAACCAGCCGTTTCTGCTCGGCATGACCGGCCGGAAAGTGCTGCAAACTTTGCCCCGCCGCCTTGATTCCTCCGTCGAGTGGGAGCCGGTTAGGGATGGGAATCAGGTGAAGCTCAGAACAAGGTACGCCGTCGAAATTGAACTCTGATTACACTACTGGAAATTATTGAATTTCCGACCACCTGAACTTGATCTTAAATCAAGTCGAAAGCAAAAGGTGGTCTGAAATAGCAACAAAGGTTTGTCTGAATACCAAAAGTGGTCGGAACAAGGCTTTCAACTGTAATTTCAAATGTTCGGAAATTCCATAATTTCCAATAGTGTTATATCGATTTCGATCGATGTTTTGGTAATTTTGGAGTTTACTGTAATCAGGTATGGGCAGTTCTTGAGGGCCAACGGAGGCTTGCCGCCGTGGAGGAACTCTGTTACGCACGATATCCCTCATCGGACGACGACGCAGGAATGGATTCTCTGGGATGTTCATGTTGTCGATATTCTTGTTCAATCTCCTGTTCCTAAACCCCCGCCTCCTATCGTCACTCACTCCGATTCATTTGCTTCGGAATCGAATTCGCCGTCAACAGCTTCATCTAAATCTCAGAGCTTTTCCGGCCAAGAGGTACAGTCCCATTTTATGTTCTTTCTTGTTGAGCGGAGACCGATAAAGGGCCAAGTTTAGTTGGGCAGAGGTTAAAGGGCCAAGTCTACCACCTTCTCTTTCGATATAAAGAAAATAAAGTTACACATTCGCTATGAGTTATAGTTTTTGGTGTAGTGACAATGTTGAAAAAATCGCTAGGCGCCTGGGACCGCCTAGAGTGCCTAGGAGGCCAACCGCCTAGGCGTGATTTTTGCAACACTGTGTAGTGATAATCGTTGTGCACTTAAAAGCTAATAGGCATTGGGAAATTGTTGAGTAGAGAGGTCGGTGGCTAGAAAATTGTTAGACAAAGGCCTAAAAGGCCAAGTCCAAAATCCTGCTTCTCGAAAATGCAGTATAAAAAAATAAAGTTGCGTCTTTGCTATGTGCTATAGTTTTTTGGCATAGTGCATAGTTGATAGGTGTTGGGGGGATCGTTAGGCGGAGGCCTAAAAGGGCCAAGTCCAGCACTTGTCTCACGAAAATGTGGCGGTATCCGGTATAAGGAAACATTCCCGTTTTGCACCCTATTCCTTTTCAGTTCATACTTTTACTACCTTTTCATCCCATTTTGCAAACTGCTCATAGTTGGAAGGCCATCCAAGAGGTTTTTGCTGGGATTGTTGGAAAATTGGCACTGATTTTTGCTGTTTCTTGTTTTAAATTTTGCAGTCTGGGGATTCTTTGGATAATGTAGCTAGAATGGTTGGGGATGGGAGGTTGATTTTTTATCGGGTTGCTGACGACTATGGGGGGCTTGATGGAGCGGAGGAGCGTTGCATGCCATTTAAGGGGAACGGAGTGGAGGAGTTGAAGAAGAGGTTGGAGGAAGAGACGGGGCTCGAGGGCGTTATCGTTTGCACACGAAGCGTGTTGAATGGGAAGCTTTATCCCCTTCGGTTGGATCTTCCTCCAAACAATGCAGATATGGCTGTTGTCGTTGTCCCATCCTCTTCTAGAGGTCAGTTCTTGTTTGCAATCTTCCATGAATATCATACTATAGTGCATTCATTCTCATGTGTTACACAAATTCAGGTCCTAAAACATGACATCGTGAAAATTTTATAAGGTTGTACAATGTTTTGTCATAGTGTCATAGTTCCCCCGATCCCCTCTTAAGCTAGAGCATTATATCATCAAGGTTGCAGAAGGCGCTAAACCCCAGTTTGGCGTCCAAGGGCGCCTATTCGCTTCCTACATAGTCCACAGGCCTAAGCATCGTCGAGTTGTCGTTGCCCGTCATCCAAAGCTTCTAGCTTTGCGTAGTTCCCCCGATACCCTCTTAAGCTAGGGCATTATATCATCAAGGTCGCAGAAGGCACTAAGCCCTAGTTTGGTGTCGTCCAGGGGCGCCTATTCGCTTCCTACATAATCCACAGGCATGTGCGTCGTCGAGTTGCCGTTGCCCGTCATCCAAAGCTTCTAGCTTTGTGGCTCGATCGAGTTGGGCGCCTAGTCGCCTGTCTAGGCCGATTTTTACAGCATTGTATATCATATGCCATTGTAGAAGTTACCCTAAGTTGGATATGATGATATTGACATCTCTCAAGCACAATTAGTGTTGATTGTTGTTATCTTTATGGTTTTCTCTAATTAATTAGCTTCTTGTTTTGGTGTTTTCAGTGGCGGGAGACTTTGCAACAGCAAGAACGCCATTATAAAGCAACTGGCATGAGGATTAGAAGATACCCATTATGTTCTTTGATTCTTTTGGTTTTATTTAGAGTGTGGTTATCTATGAAGTTTTGTATATAGACCTTCAAAGGTGATAGATAAAGAGTGAAACATAGATATAGATATAGTACGGAGTAAAATTTTTTTACTTTTTTTTTTCTTAGTTGAGAGGATGAATGTGATATATTATACGTTCAGAATAAATAATGCGTGAATGAGAAATCAATATTATATACCTATTACATTTCAAAATGTATACATATTGAGTTGAGAAAAATAGCATTTAAAAAGACTTATAAATAGTATTTGTTCCATGTGTCGAAAAAATATATTATTGCACCAGTTAGTATAAAGACTATTTAATTTTTTAAGTAATTAACTATTGGATTGCATCTACAACGTCACTTTAGTTAGACTAGGAAATAGTCAATAAATAATTTAATATAACTATATATGTCCAAAAGGCAGCATGACAAAAACACCAAATTTTAAATAACCTATTTATTGTGGTGTGGAATCTAAGACTTTTGCAATCTCCCTTTCACATGGAGTAATTAACATATTATTGACTTAATTGTCATTGTCGTGAAATTAATTGGACCGCAAATCCATTATAGTCGCAAAACGTTGATTAATTCTTGATTTTATCCAGAAGAAGATGACGAAAGGGTTAAGACTTTAATTTGTAAAACGACTCTGCTGGGGATCGAACCCAGAATCTCTGGTTCCGTAGACCAGCGCCTTATCCATTGGGCCACAGAGTCCTGTTTGCTCTGTATTAGTTAAACAACAATATCAATTGAATCCTAGAATTTCAATGTAATTTACCATTTTCATACCCGGCAATATATATACCTAAATAGTTGTCTTTTTTACAAAAATCCTACTCCACTCCAATCTTAAATTTTCTTGGTAAATTATTGTGTAGAAAATGACCCACATGTTAATCATAATAAAAAGTACATTTTTAATATACTAAAAATACATTATTCGTGTATTGAATGCACATTATACAAAATAATATATTTTCAGTACTTAAATAATGTAATTTTTCTGAATACAATGTACATTTTTAATATACTAAAAGTACATTATTTGTGTATTTTTATTCACTTCTTATTAAATAAATTATTGTGAAATTAGTCAATTTATATGAGTTTTTTTTTTCCAACCAGGGTATTTTTTAAAACATATTTCTTAAACAACAAAAACTTGTGTCAAACCGTCTCATGGGTCCTTGTCCGTGAGATGGATCGGGTCAAGATGAAATGTAATACTAAATCATGAATAAAATGCTTATTACTTATATGAGAAATATAATACTTTTGAAGGAAAAATGTAATACTTTTACATTTTGATGTAAAAGTATTATTTTTTTTTGTCAAAAGTATTATATTTTTCCTTATAAGTATTGAATTTTCCTTTTTATAAGGGAAAATATAATATTTTTGATGAAAAAATATAATATTATTACATTTGTCCTCGGAAGTAGAGAAAATTTCACTTTTGACTATTGGGGTGTTGTTAATTGCAGTCCACAAGTTTCAAAACTATCAATTTAATACCGTAATTATTAGTTATCGAGAATACAAACACAATTTTTACTACAACAAGAACAAGACTTGCATATAATTTAGCAAGAATTTTCTATGTGTTTTACTGCAACCCTATTTGGAACTATTGTACCATCCTACTCTATTTTATTGGCAAAGTGCAAGTTATAACTATGCCTAAACATAGTTGTTTCCTTTTTGGGAAGAATGACATTGTAAAAACTTCCCAGTTTAGTACACTCTGCTCAACATTAGAAGTTTAAAGATGTCTTTTGACTCTCAGATAATCTTTGAACCATCATCAAATCATTCCTCCGGGAAACCAAGATGCCTATTAATGAGTTTAGCTACGGGCTTAGCGTCACCGGGTTGATATGGAACGACAGACTCCAAGTCCATGCCCGCGATGGTTTGATAGAGTGTCTGGGGACGTGCACAAAACAAATGCTTTCTATCCGCAAGTTCTTCTGCTAGCTCGCTTTGATGATTGTCCATTAAATCTTCATTGACTACCACGATCAGTGGTTTGCCCAATCGCAATGTCTCAAATATGCTTCCTGAACCTGCAGCACAATCAAGTTTGATTGTGTATTTTCTTTACATTTAAAGATAAATTCTAACCAGCTTGGTTGGCGTGAGTGACCGTGCACTCTCATCCTATAAGAGAGGTTGGGAGTTCGAACCCTCTCTCGTATGGAAAAACCAATCTCGCCAGCACTTTGCCCCCTTAATTGGGGCAGCCCGGTGCAAATGGAGATTAGTCTGAGTATGGTACGGGCTTAAAGGTGCCTCCTACAGTTAGGGCATGCGTAGGAATGGGGATTAGTCTGAGTATGGTACGGGCTTAAAGGTGCCTCCTACAGTTAGGACATGCGTAGGACACCTCATGGTCTGATAAATTTGGTTGGCGTGAGTGGTCGTGCACTCTTGTCCAAAGAGGTCGGGAATTCGAATCCCCTCTCGTATAGAAAAACCAACTGCCCAGCACTTTGCCCCTTAATTGGGCTAGCCAGGTGCGAACGTGGTACGGGCTTAAAGGTGCCTCCTACAGTTAGGGCCGGCTCAGGGAACCTCGTGGTCTGATAAATTCTTTTGATGAAACTACAGAAGTTCTCAAACTGACATCATATCCTACCTTTTCTGGAAAAAAAGGCTGAATTATAACTGAGGTGAAAGAAAATAATGGATTCATTTGATGATTGTTTTCGCACTAGAAGTCTAAACTGCGGGCATGAGAAACACCCAAATGATAGGGAAAAAGCGAGAAAATAAACCCTAAAGGAAGACAATAATGCAAGGGGAAAATAAACCATAAGAACATCATCATCATCATCATCATCATCATCATCATCAATTAGATAAATGAAAATAGAGATGTATTGAATCATGACTAACCTGCATGGCTAATAACAAGAGAAGCAGATTTCAGATATTCGGCTATGGTCGATGAGAAAGTGAAATAGTCCAGTGCCGGGGATCCATTTTCTAAAGCAGACTGAAAATTTAAAGGGATATCTAAGCATTCAACTTTCACAGAGAAACTAAAAACAATGAAAAGATAATAACAAAACCAAATTTCAGATTTACCTTTGTGGGAACATAGGTTCCACGACCCATTTGAACAATAATATCAGTATAGCCTTTCTTGAACAACTCTTTCCTAACTTCAGCAGTGTCGACAGCATTAACTAGAGCATCAAAACAAGTAGTTCCAACGGTCACAAAAACTGTTCTCTTGTCAGCCCCTTTAGCATCACCCTCCCCCATTCGAAAATGCCCAATTTTTATTCACTTTTCACTGAAAACCTGTAAGTTTAGTTTTAAGTTTAGCAGCATCAGATACTAATCAATGAAAAATACAATTTTTTTAAAAGAGAAGGAAGAATTTGACAATCTTCCATCCAACGCCTACTATGCATTATTAGTTATTACTCATTTGAAAGATAAAAGCGATCATAGGACTTTCGTTCAGTGGTGTCGAAAAGTAAATAAGATACTTAAAAATCAAACCATTCTAATACACATGGTTCAAATAAAACACACATTAATTACATTGATCAATTAAACTAACAACTTACATTGATCAATTAATCTATTGCAGAATCAGAGATGATAGGACTGCATCTATTAACATGAATAAGTGAAATAATTGAGCTCAAGGATAATTCTCCTTAGTTTTAGTAGGTGAAGAAAATAAATTGAGTACTATCATCAAAGAAAGCATAAAGAACAGATTTTTCACTAAAAACAGATTAAGATTTTCCTTAAAGAACAGCTTAAGAAATTGAGCGTTATCGGCTGAAAAATGAACCTGACTATGGTACAGAAAGCATAAAGAACAGATTTTTCAACTTACTCGAAATAAAGAACTAAAATTAGAATACTGGAAATTGAACTAAATTTACCAAAAAAAGAAAAAAAAAAAAGTGCAAATTGCAACCCCTTGATTTCTAGAGTTTGAAGCTGTAATGAGGACAAAGAGCAAAAACTTTACCCTATAATTCACCAATTCACAATCGCAATAAACCATTAACAATTCACAATTACCCAATTCGCAATTTATAATCACAATAAACCATTAACAATTCACAATTTATAATCACAATTACGAAATTAATATATTAATATATTATAAATAAATCTCATAAAAATAATTTTGATATACTCCGTATCTAATAAGAAAACTTTATACAATATTTAGGGATTCACAAAATTAGGGTTAAGGAGGTGTTATTTGAGGTTCGAACCTGAGGAGAGGAGTAATGGACGACGGCGAAGCTGCTGACTGAGAAGAAGACTGCCAGACCGGAGATGGCGTCACGGGCTCAAATTCTTTTTTTTTTTTTTTTTTTTTTTTGAAAACGGCTCAAATTCGAATTTAAACCGACTCTAAGTTAATAATCAAATTCTTATTTCGAACGATGTCGTTTAGTATCCGCCGCCCAGTCGCTATATTGTCCCTCACAGACGCCAAAACGAATTCTGTTACCGCACAAGATACTTTGTTCCCCACTACTTTACCCGCCACCACGTTCTCATTCTTCCAAAGTCACAGCCCCGTCACCAATCATCCCTCACAGCTCCATTCGATTCTTCCACCACCATTTTTTTCCTTCTTATGTTAATCTCCAACTCCAAGAGTCTCAACACACTTGACAAAATATTTAAAAGAATGTAAATTACGATGACTCAACGACTCAACAAACATGGTCAAATCAGATTACTAAACCATTAAGCTAAATTTGTACGAACAACAATTTTTGACAATAATTTTTTTTAAGTCCACAAAATCTCACCCCTAAAACCATTGCAAGATAAATTATAAGTGGGGCAATTAAATCATTGGTCATATCCTAATATTTATATGTACACAAAGAATTTTGACCATCCAATATCGTTGAACCTTTTTCTGTAATTTTTTTAATGCGATTCGAATCTTTACACTGTTACTTCTTATCATGACCTTTAAATTAGACGACTAACCAACTAAACTAAGAGTAACATTATCAAAAGAGATTTGGGGAATAATGTCAAAAAAGTAGATGCCAAATAGGACGGATAATGTAGGAGAGAGAGGGGAGTGTTCATATGTAAGGGTTGGGAAGAATAGGAGAAAAGTGGGACCCACCAAAAAAATAAGCATTGTGACAGTCTCGCGTGACTGTCACAATGGTGCCCAGCTGGGTGCGTCAGGCGCAGGCGCACTAACAACACGCTTGACACTATTTTTTTTTTCAAAATTATTTTTACTACTCCCTCTTTTCCATTTTACCTGTCTTGTTTATTATTTATTGGTCAATTCAACTCTTTCTTCCTTGCTTATTTTTTTTAATAATTTTTAATTATTTTTAAATTTAATTTTTAATGTTTAGTACTCCGTAGTACTTTTAATGTAGTTTCTAAATATATAAATTTTATATACTAAAAATAAACTTAATATTATGAATTCAGTCAAGCATTATTAACCGAACCAGATAAACAAAATGTACCCAAAGGAGTATTTTTTTTCTCTCTCTCCTCCTATTTTTTCTTTCCTAATCATACTTATAAAAACTTCTTAAAAATCTCAAGGGAAAATGACACTTTTTTCCCCTATGTTATATGTTTATAGCACTTTTTCCCCCTGAGTTATTCATGCATCCACATTTGCCCCCTCAATTATTATAAAAGTGGCGGTTTTTCCCCCTGATAATATTAAATAGACATTTTTACCCTTAAATACATATTTTATTTATTTCTCTTGTTCAACAAATTATTGTTTATACGTAGGGATGGCCACGGTTCGGTTCGAACTGAACCGAACACTATAGCAATCAAATAAAAAAAAAATCGGTTATGATTCATAACATAACCCAATATTTGGGTTTCCGTTTATTAAAATTGTGAAGTGGAAAAAAATAGATTCTGAACCGTGAACCAGAGGTTCAAATCGGAACAACTACTAGCAATAGCTTAAAATTAGAATTATAATATTTGCAAATAGTGTATGTTTTTTTCGCATTTATATTGACTCTCACATATAAGTATATATAATCGCGATTTGGTTTTTATTTTGAATCGTTGTTTCACAATTTCGGATCCAATTTGAACTGTTGGTTCAAACATTATTTTAAAATTTTATTTTTTTATTTTTAAAGTATTCTAAATTCAACAATTAATGTATTTTATTTTTTCAAATTGTGGTTATAATTTGTTGGAGAAGTAAAATAAAGGAAATATTTATTTTAAGGGTAAATATGTCCATTTAATATATCAGGGGGGAAAATTGCCACTTAAATAATATAGGGGGAAAAAGTGCTATAAGTATATAACACAAGGGGAAAAAGTGCCATTTTCTCAAATCTCAATGCGAATTAACTAATGTGGATGCTCTAAGCTCCTATAATGGAACACCAATATTGTCGAGGAAGTGAACCGTCGTAATCATTGCCTCACCTACCCGTTATCATAATTTCTTCCAAAATAAAAAATCTCCACCCTTCCGCGTTTCTTAGCCGTAACATCCGCCATTCGCGTTGACGTCCGGTTTACTCACCGGAATTTCTCCCGCCATCCTCCATCTTGATAAGCCCATCTAGAACCTTCTCGAATTCCATTTTTTTCCGATTCATATAGCCACGAAGTGACGAAGGCAAATTGTGTTTGATCGCTTTGAGTATTGGATCGTCAGAACTGGGAAGGGAAAATGGGTGTTGATTACTATAACATACTGAAAGTGTCGAAGAACGCGACCGATGAAGATTTGAAGAGATCGTACAAGCGGCTGGCGATGAAGTGGCATCCGGATAAGAACGGGGAGAACAAGAAGGAGGCGGAGGCCAAGTTCAAGCAGATATCCGAGGCCTATGACGTGCTCAGCAACGCTCACAAGCGCCAGATCTATGATTTGTACGGCGAGGAGGCGCTCAAGTCCGGCCAATTCGATCAGGCGTCGCCGACTTGTGGTGGCGCCGGAGGGAATAGCTTTAGGTATAAATGGCGCGACGCCGATGACATATTCGCCGAGTTTTTCGGTCTATCGAAGGGAGGATTTAAGGACAGTCCTGTTGTTGCCGGTGGAGACAGAGGAACGCCGCGGAAGGCGGCGCCGGTGGAAAACATGCTGCCATGTAGCTTGGAGGAGCTGTATAAAGGATCCAAGAGGAAGATGCAGATTTCAAGGATCGTTCTCGATGACACGGGGTATGTAACTTATCTATGTGCATAAATTTATTTCATTACTGAAACAGTGAAACTAGTCTATACACACACGTATTACGTATATATACAATATCTAACATTAATTGCCTAAAAAAGTATCTATATATCTGTTTATGTATCAATCTGAGTTTAATTATTAGAAATAAAAAGGTAAGTACATGATTAATCATGCCAAAAAATATATATGGAGAGGCCAGGAGAGCAGTAAATTTGTCTGGGGATATTCTCTGATCTCTTCTTACGAGTTTCTATTTGTTTCAAATCTTTTAGATTAAATTTTAGCTAAAATTATGGGATTTAACTATAAGATGGGATTAGCTAATTTATAAGTTGGGATAAATGATTTGGGACTGGTAGCATTTTCTTAATTGTGAAAAAGTAGACAGAATCTTACAAAAAGACAAAAGGTTTGGTTATAGCAAGTTGAAAACTTGTGGAATTAAGAGTTTGAAAAGTGTTGCACACTTGCCCTACCTACTAAAATTTGCTTTGAAGCATTATTGGCTACCCTTCAATATGATATTCATTTTCATCTATCTTTAGTAGTATGGTTGTAAATTGACTTATAAAAAGTGATCAAATTTATAATTTTAGGAGAAGTCAAAAATTAGGAAATGGAACTGTTTTGGAGGGACAGATTGAATAGTTATTTTCTACTAGCATAGAGTGGTAGACAATCTCTTCATTGCAACAATAGTGCTGCTAGTTGGGTGATGATATGTATCTTAAGGAGAAACAAAAGGAAATAATATAGAGAAATTTTTCTTATAAGTGTTGGGCAAAGGCCGGTAAGGACCAAGTCCAGCACTATGGGGCTAGAGGGATTGTTTGGCGGAGGCCGGTAAAGGGCCAAGTCGAGCACCTTGGCTGTCGAAAATGTGTAGCGGTATAAAGAAATAATAAAGTTACACCTTCTCTATTAGCTATGGTTTTTGGCAGTAAATGCTTGATTCTAATAAGTGGTATAAGAGACGGGTTCGAGTCCTACCCTGCTTCCACCCAATAGTAATAAGTTACAACAAAAGCAAATATTTTCATGTATCTGATTGACCAAGTCTTAATTGTACTGTATCATTTTCTTGTGGTTTATGGGTTATTGTGCAAATTGTGATTGTAGTAAGCCTGTGACTGTTGAGGAGGTGTTGGCAATACATATTAAACCTGGTTGGAAGAAGGGCACTAAGATTACTTTTCCTGAGAAAGGGGATTATGAACCCGGTGCTGCCCCAGGAGACCTTGTTTTCGTTGTAGAGGAAAAACCTCATCCCGTGTTCAGAAGGGATGGCAATGATCTTGTTGTTCATAAAAAAATTTCCTTACTCGATGCTCTTACAGGGAGTACAATCAGCCTGACAACATTGGATGGTAGAGAGCTAACAATACCAGTAACCGACGTCATCAAGCCAGGGAATGAGCAAGTAATCCCAAACGAAGGAATGCCGATATCAAAAGAACCAGGTAAGAAAGGAAATTTAAGGATCAAATTTGAGATCAAATTCCCTTCGCGGCTTAGTTCAGATCAGAAATCTGAACTGAGGAGGGTACTGGGTAGACCAGTTGAATAAGCCAAAAGGCTTTAGCTCGGGTTATTGCTAACACAAATAGGGGAAGGGGAATGTAAATACATGACATTTACGATAGAGAAGATAATTGTGCATACTAGGAACATAGTATGAAGGATTCCTTAAGAAATTTCATTACTCTTTAGTGTAGTAAGAGGCTCCTATTTAGCTTGCTACTGTTGCTGATACTATATTTAATCATCGTGTTGCTTGTTGAACCTGTAAATTTTAATGTATTGTAGTTTTGGTGAGAGATGAAATGTATTTTTCCGAGTGTGAACATTTTGTTACGTTGTTGAATAATCAAGTGTAGATCATATATATATATATATATATATATATATATATATATATATATATATATATATATGAAACATATTCATTTGGTTTTTTGAAATCCATGTATATCGTCTCCACTTTTCTCATTTAGGGCTAGAAATTGTTAGATCGTTATAATCCCCCAAACTAGTTAACTGCATATGTTAGATGGTTGGTTAGTTGAGTATATAACTGAAAAATATTGAAGAGAAATAGCCGAGTAGACAAAAAAATCACTCGCCCGAGTTAGGCACCGAATCAGTCGAGTTAAGTGCCCGACTCGACCAGGTTAGACGCTCAACTCAACCGAGTCGACACCTAAGGTGCCTAGTCTGCTGATTAGTCGGTTAGTCGCCTAGAACTGAAATCGAATCGGCCTAATAGCGCCTAGGCAGCCGCCTAAGCCGACGTTTAGAATACTGCCTATGAAAGACAAGAAATAAAAAGAAGTGATCATTATTAGAGATCAAGAGACTATTTCAGCTCCTCTAGGCTCCAGCCTAATATTACATTACCATTTTGTTTGACCTAAATATTATTATTTCTTCAACAAAATTAAAACACACAATTGAATAATGTTTGGCAAATTATGAGTTATGAGCCCCTTTAACGTAACATGCATCTCCATACATATATGTCCTTAATTAATTAGTATCTATGCTTCTGGATTTTCTTCTGGAGTTGTTCCCTATCTGCCCCAATAATCTTTTCCACCACTTTGCCTTTCTTCACCAACACAAACGTTGGCATTGACTCTACCCCAAAGTCTTGAGCCACATCCTATTCATAGTAAATACAATTCTCAATATCATCAAACTTATCATTTAATAAAGTGAGATGTACAATTATGTCCACATATAAACCATGTCGGGCCCGGGAGGCTAATGAAGGGCCTAGTCCAACAATTTGTGACTAGGGAATTGTTGGACAGAGTGTCAGTGAAGGGACAAGTCCAACACCTGTCTCTCGATAATGTGATGACAATATAAAATCACTAAATCAGAGAATAAAATTGTACGTTCGCTACTAGTTATAGCTTTTGGTATAGTGATATGCGCTTGATCTTAAAAATAAAACGTACCCCCAATTCATCGACATCGATCTTAACAAATTCAACGTCACTGTATTGAGCAGCAAACTCGTGGACGATAGGCTCCATGTACTTGCAAGGTCCACACCATGTAGCTGTGAAGTCGATTACCATCTGCCATCCAAATTTCTAAACCAGTAAGTACATACAAAAATAATGTAAACCAAGCCCCATTTGATAACATAGTTAGTTTATCAGTTAATTTTGACTTATTTGACCATTTTTAGCTGTTTGATTTGGTTAAATAACCAATATAAGTGTTTGATTAATTAGATTTTTGTAACAGCTTATTGTTTCAAAATGTCAAATTTCAAAAAGCTGGTCAAATTAGTTTTTTCGATCAGCTTTTTGAGAAAGTCATTTTGCATATAATCTATCAGCTAACAACTAATTTACCAAATATATTTCTACACCCAGCTAATGCTATCAACGAATCAAACCCACTAACATAATCAACTAACAACTGTTTACCAAACAACTCCTATTTCTTTTAAGCCAGTTTAATGGTAAAACCTCAATTTGTCAAGGTGAAAATAATTATATTGGAGGTTTTTAAATTAGTCATTCATTTATGTTTCTATCTTTCAATTATTACAAAATATATCTCTAACTTAAAAAAATAATAATAATAATTGTGGTTTTCGTCTCTTGAGCTAAGAAACCAAAACCTCTATTTTAAAAAAATGCATTCATATATGAATTTTATATTTTTTAAAACACACACACACACACAATTATACTTTAAATATGTGTTCCATTTTAACTATAAATCTAAATTGATGGTTGAATTGCACGATCACTTATGTTTTTATATATTATATGCTCAACACTTGCTAATCAAACGTAAAATATGAGTCAAATCACAATCAAAATTCACAATTCTGTAGTTCAATAGACCAAAATTTGTAACTTTTTGGCAAAGGGGTAGCTAGTTACAAGACAATGACTAAAATAACTAGAGTTACATAATTGAAAAACTAAAAACACGATTTTTCTCCAACGAACTTAATTATATTTATATATCGATCCAACCTGACCTATATATAAAATTCATTAATTTTTTCATGCTATAAGCCGCCTCAAAAGAAATTATTTTGGTTCCTCCTTCCCAAGCTAGCTAAGCTAGGCATGACCATTTATTGTGACTAGAAAAATAAATTAAAGGAAATGTGGAGATATATATTGTTAGTTACCAGTTGCTTTGTTTGCTTTGAGGCATCAAAATGAATCCTCCAATTCATAGAAGAATGGAAGGCAATAACAAGAGGCTTCTTTGTTGTTGATCCATATGATTCTGGCCAAGTTGATGATGATGAGGAGGAATGATTGGCACCCATTTCTCTCAACAAAATTGTGAGCTCAAAAGAAACAAGTTTGGAAACTTTAATTTGGCATACACCCTTTTATACTAGTTAATCATGATAAATAAAAAAAATTAAAAAAATTAAAAAAAAAACACTAAATTGAAATAGAAAAGATTTTCTATTTTTTAATTGATATACAGAATATATTCTTGAAGTAACCTTTATGATATCAACCACACAAGTAAACATTATAGGATATGATGCTTAATTAATGTATTAGTGAGGATTCAATATATGTTATATATAGGATAATGTTATTTATATCAATTTGTTTTTTTTTTTATCAAATTTTATGCTAATAATAAGAAATTTGTCTTTATATTATTAACTTATATTGTAGTCGAAGAAAGTGTGTTAATTTTTTTCAAAGTGATGTTGTTTTTCTCTAAACTATATATGTTCTTTAGGTTGAGTCTAAGTAGATTCGGGTTCTTCGTAGTGAGACGAAGATATCGATATATATTATTCACCGAAAACAACAGACGATGAGTTAATGAGAATTGATTCTAAAAGTACACTCATTTGAGTTGGAAAATGAGGACGAAATATTTTTGAGTAACCTTTGTCCGGCATTGATTTGGATAGTAAATAAGCACCACTCTATATATAAGACCAGTTTACAAAGAATTTGAATTATATAGCATAGAGGACTCTCACCCGCTAAATCTATTTCTAACATTGTTTTCAATTATTGTTTTGTCATTGTAGAACTAATAATTGTTCTATCATGGTTTCCAATTATTGTTTTGTCATTGTAGGGTTAATTGTCACGAACTCACCCTTGGAGACTCGATAACGACAACTCGTGCGACCTTACTACTCTTGATTTCGCAAGAAAGTTTGATAAAAGAATTAGTAAGTTTTATTCATAACGTGGATTCTCGAATTGTTAGATTGTTACAAAATGAGCTCTGATGAGGGATATTTATACTTATTTTACCTCCTCAATGAAGGGTAGAGATCGACTTGATCCTACAATTATAATTCTATCTCTAGAACCCTCCTTAAAATTCTATGTAATCCTAAAGGTTTCATAAGGTTTTAGAAGATTCTATAGATCTCTAGACCTCTTAGTGCTATGTATATGGTTCCGAAAACTTCTACAAACTTTGAGAAACTATGTACTAATGCAGAAAATGTCTAGAACAACGTAGCTAACCTTGAAAATGCATAGCAAAGTGGCTCGGGTGCTACATAATGGTCTCTTATTAGCTCTTGTTAACTGGATCCAAGAAAAAAGAGTTTTCTTTTTATTTTGGTTGCTTAATTGATTGATCTTTCCCCTGGGTTAGGGCTCTTCTTCGGCTAGAGGACCACCCTCAGATCCTTTGTGTTTTGTGTTCCTAATGATGGGTGGTCTTGGGCATGTGCCTTTAATTTGCTTACGTTCATTAGTAGGAGTGGTCAATCAGTTAATCGAATCGTTTTAATCGAAGTTTTTAAAACTTTAACCGTTAACTGAACCAAATTTTGTATTACCGAATTAACCAAATTGAAGTTTTTTTCGGTTAATCAGTCGATTAACCGAACTCTTTTAAACTAAAATTTTAAATTCTAAAAATAATACCTATAATAATAAATCTAATTAAAATAATACATATAATAATAAATTCATAAGAAAATATACAAAAACAATATCATAACAACATTATAAATTTATAGGGATTTCACATATTAAATTATATATTTATTTATTTAAAATTTCGGTTAACCGTTCGGTTAATTCGATTAACCGAAGTTTCGAACATAATTAACCGTTAACCATAATTTTTAAAAACTTTTAACCATTAACCGAATTGAAAAAGTTCAATTAAAAAATAGTTAACCGAATTTTATTGATTCGATCGGTTAATCAAAAATTTACTGAAGTTTGCACATTCCTATTTTCATTGGTAAATGACATATCTAAGTCTATCGAAAGCTGCCCATTTGCTTAAAATGGGTGGTTGTGCATATGTGACATTGGTTGAATTCTTGATTGTTAGGCGTTTCTATCAATACTTGGTTCTTTTTATTATTTTATTATTTCTTAGTTCTTTTATACATGATATTTTTTACACGTTACAAGATACCACATACAATTTACGAGGCATATATTTGGAATATTAAGGTAACAACTAATTAATAATTTCAAATATCCCTATCTTAGAATGAATTTTATTCAATTGTACTTTTAAATAATGGATTTTTCCATGAGCATAATTACTGATGATGACATACACTAACATTTATAGTTTTTTTTTTTTAAAACAATAATATATGTTATTCAATTTATTTATTTATTAAGTTTGTGTTAGGAATAAATATAAAATTAGATTTTGATAATGCAAAATAGGTTAAAAATTAAAACTCTTAAATTTTTCTTGTAAAACTAGAAAAGGCCACAATACCATACGTGTAACATTTCAAAGTATGTAGTATATTATATTTTATTTTTGAAAATCAATATATTCATAGACTCAATGATAGCTTCATAGCTAAATCAATATATATATATGCCAAATTATTAAAGGTCTCCAAACCTTTGTGAGATAAATGGAACCAAAACATCCAATTCCCATCCATACATGATGAGACCGGATCGGATTCGCTCCAACTCACACCTTTATTATTATTATTATTATAATATACATTAGATTTCTTAGCTTACACTAGATTAATCCGTCAAGCCCCGCAGTGAGTGAGGTAAATTGCAAGTTACACTCTACACACAAAGAGTCTTATCACGGTAAATGAGGTAAATTGTAAGCTACACTCTACACACAAAGTGCCTGATCAATATTGGAATCAAACCCTCACCCTGCTATTGGAGCAAGACGTCAGGCTATTTTTCTTTTTATTTATGCCGCTACATGGTTGTGCCGTGAAGCCTTTTGTGACTACTTAGTCAGCAAAATATCACAAACCGAGAAGTGATGGATTTGTTTGTAACATTACAAAGACAATAACAACTAACCTACATATAAAAATGGGAAAACTAGCATGGAATAAAAATTTCCTTGGAATATAATCAAATTAAAAATTAATCAAAAATTTCAACCAAACATATGTATATATATGGTGGCATTATATTAATATGCATTCACGAATCACTCATATATATACTACTACACAATCATATATATAATAATATTATCCTTGTCTTTTTTTGTTTAATTTCTATTAGTTTTGAATCGGAACAGCATCTACAATATAGTCCTCTGGGTTATGCATTTCGATATCCAAAACCCTCCTCCTGTTCTGAATCGGAACAGCATCTGCAATATAGTCTTCTGGGTTGTGCATTTCGATATCTAAAAGCTTGCGGTTTTGGATCGGAACAGCATCTTGAATGTAGTCTTCGGGGTTGTGCATTTCGATGTCTAAAGGCTTTCGGTTTCCGGCGCCGGCGGCAGAAACATGATGGGTGCACGCAATGAGACAGATAACTGCAACAATAATCCCTCTAACATTAGCCATTATTGTTTTTCTATATGCTAGAGGAAATTAGAGGGAATATAATGCACTTTTTATTTGTACTGTTTTTGCAGATCAAATCTGTATTGGATGGCTTTCTTTTACCATTTCATCACCCAAATTTATAGTCGCCATATATGCATGCATGGAAATTAAATCACCAGATTGTTAGAGAGCTAGGCTAGGCTTCAAACTAGCCCGGCCTCTAAATTTAGTGGTCAACCTGCTTTTTCTCCTTTAACATATGTTAATTTAATCATGTATGTATTTCTTTTTATGTACTGCAATTATTATCATAATTAAAATTATTATTATTATTTTATAAGAAATGATCAAGATAATATAAGATTCTCATAAACTTAACCTCTGCATTAAGTTTTTAGTTATTATAAAGAAATGTGATATACCCTTCAATTTCTTAGATAATTTCCCATTTTCTTATCTTATTACTAATATGTTGGGCTTTAAACATTTTAATCAATTTATCTTATTACTGTTGTCTTATTTTACATACATTAGTTTTAAATTAACCAAACACAGGAATCTAACATTCCCAGCAATCTAATCCCTAAGGTAATCTAACATTCCGTGAACCAAACGCCCCCTAATGAATAATAATAATCGACCTGAGTAATCAAACTAAAATCGACAAACATCAAACAAATACAGAAAAAAAAAATGCTGAAAGCTAATGTTTCGAACAAACATCATAGTTAAACTGTTTCAAAGCCTCTAAGATCAGATTTAGACAATAAAGTAAAAAGAAGCTACGACAAAATCTATTTTTCCGCCCAATGTTTTCTGAATAAGACACTTCGACTAATGCAACAAAAAATAAGAACATCCTGGGTGGTAGAAATGTGAACAGGAACCCACATTCATGTGTCCCATGCAACAAAGAAAACTTTCACCACCTCCAAAAAGAAGACTACTTCCAAATATGTTTATAAACAGTAAAGCACCATACCTTAAGAATCTGCATTATAGTTTCCAGCTTGGCCTCCATAACCCTGGTTATTGTAATAACCACCACCACCACCCCCCCTTCCACCTCTTCCACCCCTTCCCCTGTAGTTAGAATTCCTCGATCGGTAGTTACCCGGGTGGTCATTATATTGGTTGTGACCATTCTGGTAAGTCCCACCCCTGCCACGCCCACCGCGGCCGTTGAAATTTCCCCTGCGCCCACCACCACCACGGCTACCCCTGTAATTGTGATAGGATCCTCGAGAAACATGTTGCTCTTGCATGTCCTTAGGATCCTCCACTCCTTCCTCGGGGTGAACTGCTTCAGCTTCAGCAATCAATCCAGATATATCTTCCTCCTCCTGTAACGTGTATATGTCAAACATTTTATTTATTAGTTACCTAAGAAAATAAAACCCCACCTATTTCAGAAAATCTGTGAGGATTTGGCAAACACACCTGATGAAATTCTTCCACGGGATTACTATCATTAGCTTCATTTTCATGAGAACTTATTGATTCTTCCTGAAAAGATTGAACATTTGATGTTGGAAGATGACATGAACAGAAAGCCACAGCAATAAAT